TTATAATCCACTAGGCTACAAATTAAGTATACCAATAGGCCCACTTGCTTCCCAAAACCCACCCCATTTTTATATGCGAGTAGTTCCTAAATACAAAGAAGCTTATGGAAGCAGGGGAATTAAAGGAGTATCATGAAAAGCTTTTTCCTCAGGAGCTGAACGAGCAAATACAATTTTTCAACCAACAGAAGACAATATTGTTGTAGAAAAGAGTAAAGTAGCTGCAAGACTTCACAACGAAATAGGAGGTATAGTTATCTTTACTAAAAATCATTTACCTAATAATATCAATGCGGTGGATCAAGAGACTTGAGACGAAATTGGAGAAATCTGTCAAGAACTTATCCAGAAAATGGCATCTGCTGAAAATTTTACCACTGATGCAGTAATTAGATGAGAACTCAACAAAAAAGCTGCAGAAACTTTGATAAAAGAATCAGAAATGCCTTCAAGTTATAGTGAAATTTATCCCCCTTCTGAATTTTCGGCATACTTTGCTCCTAGATTCAAGTTAAGAAAATTTTGGAGACATTATAGACCTACAGAAAAGGGTCAATTTCTAGGCACCATGGAAGATGAGCGAGTTGCTGAAAAATTAAGAGATCCTGAAACTTATTATGCTAAATGGAAAGATGATAAAAACTACTTAATAAACAAAGGCAAAAACCTCACCCAAGCCCAAAAAGAAAGAAATAAAAAGATTGCTAAAGTATGAGTTGAAATTAAAGAATTAGAACAAATTCCTAATCGAACTGAAGAACAAGAACAACGATTACAAAGCAAAAGAGAAGAATTGAGAAAACTAGAATCTAATCAAACAGATGGTTTAAAATGAACTCCTTGAATAGGATTAGGGATAACTTACACTATTATTCTTGGAATATCTGCTTATTTATTAGTTGAAGAAAAACGAAAATTTACTGAATAATTTAGTCACAGAACGCTTTAGCTTGTTATTATTTATTTATTAAATTAGTTAACAGAAACAAACTTTTTGTTTGGTATAAAAATTACTCAATTACATTTTGTACTGGCTTGGGACAAGTAATGTCTTTAAATTCGTCTCTAACAAATGGGCGAATATTATGATAAAGATATTCTTGTCTTTTGTAATCCAAAGGAGGCAGAGTAAGAACTAGAATGGAAAAAAATTTAATTTCTTTGATAATTTTAGCAATACTTGCTTTTCTAGTTTTTAACAAATTAAATTCAGTAAACGTACCATTAGCGACCAGCTGGACTTTGACAATTCCAGGTCGGGCTGCTTCGAATACAAAATGCTGATATTTTTGCAAGCCACTCAATTTTTTAAAGAAAATTCCTAACACGGAATTAAAATCTAAATACTGAAAGCCTTTGCCGTTTTCATAACGCTGAGCTTTGTTTAATCCAGTTGTACTCGATTTTTTCACAACTTCAACAATATCGTTCACACAATTTACCGTTGTTTTTCTATAGAGTTTTTTAATCAACCCAAAACTACCATCACACTTGAATTTAGTATGTCCAGGTACCATGAAATTTAATTCGATACTTTCATAATAACCGCAAATTACTAAATATAAGTAAAATCAAATGGTCGCATTATTTTTATTCTGTCCACCCGCGTTATCACAAGTAATCTTCAAATGCTTTTCGCCTTTATTCAATCTCTTAATTCCATCGAACACCATGCTCAGTGTGCCATTAGGACCTTTGCCGATAATTTCGTCTTCGTCGAGGACGTAATTAATTTGTTTGCGTACTGCTTCATCTTGAATACCAAATAAATGCACTTTACGCGGACTGAGATAATAAATCTTACTTACCTGTTGATCGGAATGGGGCACGTGAACGTTTTGCGCTCAATCGTTACTGTGATGCGCAGTCGCGTCAACGCTACGATAATCAGCTTTACCTCCCGTCAAATCCGTTAGTGAAGACAGTCAATCAATATACATTGTCCCAGCCACGATCATGAAACATACATGATTCTTACCTCTATAGTGCGTGCTAACAACCATTTTACATCTAACTCATTTGGCAACAAAGGTGGCATTGATACTTTCGGAGTCGGACCAGAGACATACATGATCATTAGACTGCGGAGTATAGGTGCAGCACATTCGACATCCATCTCTGCTGGCAACGTTGAGTTTCCGATAAGTATTCCTTCTGCAAGGATCTCTTCCAGATCGGCATCCTTTATCAAAAATAAATAAGTCAAATAACATACAAACTATTGATAATATTGCTCAACAACTTACATTAGGGAATGTGGCGGATCCACATCGGAGCACAGTTCCAACAATATGTAATTGTGATTGCGAAAGTTTCGGGAGAGATCAATAATACGATCATAAGTTTGACGTCCTCTGACGAAGCTCTGCAACTCAACAGAGGCAAATTTCTTCCAACCGTCGACTGTTATCTTATTTCGGTGGTTGACCACCCTTTCCGCAAGCGCTCGACAGCAGGTGCCGACAAGACCTTTGTGGCCGAGGGTACGCTCAAAAAATGTCTTTGGTAGTATTTTAATTGGCAAACTGATTCATTTCTGCTGCATCTTCAGAAGCGAATAATGTAAACAGGGACACGCTTGTGCCCGAAAATATCGAATTAAAAACAACTCTTGAAACCGAAAGTTCAGAAGATACCAACGATTCACCAGTCTTTACAGAGTTTGCCCCTGGTACATAAATTCAATGTTTCAGAGAGACGTTGGATAGACAATAGCTAATTCTAACCCTATTGTTAATATTTCTAGACTTCGATACTATCGAGGATCAAGCCAACTTGTCTGACGATTTTAATTCTAATACTAATACTATTAATGATTTGCCTAATTATAATGCTAATACTAATACGAATGATTTGCCTGATGACGATCGCTCCTTAAATGGTTTTGACGACACTTTCACGGAATCTAGTAACAATGGTGAATTTGCGTGGCGTGGCACACCTATCCAAAATTTGTATCGGCTGATCGAATTGCGTTCGGATACAAGCACAACTGGGACAGGTAATACTTTTCATAACGCATGCGATCCCGATAGCCATAATTGGTTTCTATGCGTACAATTGTACTGATTTTATAATACTACAGTGGATAAAGCTATTATCCATCCGCAAGATTTGGGAAATTTGTGCAATGCATTGGCTCCTGAAAGTTATCATTCCATAGCCGATATACGCTTTGAGAAATTGGGGAAAGAACATCTCGATCTTGTTGGATGCTATGGGAACCGTAAGCTCATTTTAAAGCTATTGTTACAGAGCAACTGCATCAATCAGGACAGGTTAGTAACATATATTGATATGTATCAGTATGTATCTTTATGTTCCGTGTACATTTACGCTTATCTCTCGTAACATAGTTATGAAAAACTTGTCAAGTCTGAACGAGATTCCGATCCGGTACTTGCCGGTACTTCATTGACAACTGGCCTTTATCTACTTTTGATCAAGCCGCGTTTGGGCTTTGT